GGAGGGGGGGGGGGGGGGGGAATCATGGGAAGGAGAGAAAGGATAATCAAAGCCTATAGCCATGCGTGGGTCTGCCTTTAAACTGCATCTCACACGACCAAAGCACCGAGCCACACGCACAGCAGGCGGAGAGGAGTAACAGAGACAGCCCTGTTCACAAGTACAGGGAGCGCATGCTGGGATGCTCATTAAACGAGAGACAAGAGCAGCAAAAGGTGATGACTGAATTTGCAGGGAGGTTTGCCAGCTTAAGGCCCAAGCAGTCAGGAAAATGGAAGGGCCAAGGCCAGCTCTGGTGTAAACCAAGTCAAGTCAGCCCATAATGGCAATACTGGTCTCTTCTGAACTGGTAGATAATGCGAGGGGTCATCTAAGTCCACCATTTTATTTACCATGAAGCAAGAGCGCGGTTCATCCCAAAGGGCAGAATGACTCACCTATCAGCATATCCACAAATATACCTATCCACCAATTCCAGATCATTCTATATATTCTAGCTGGCATATACGGTTCTTAGAAGAGTAACCCCCACCCCACCACCTGGTTCCTACTCCACCCTGCCACATTTGTAAACTATTCCTGAAGTGATGGAAGTTTCATAGTGGGGATTCTCAGCATTTTTGACTTAGGAATGGATAGATCCGGTCAGTTCCAATCAGTGTTAGTTTTCTGAGCATTTCAAGACAAATCCACTCCCTCCGGTCTTTTTAGAACTTTTAAAAATAAGTTGTGTGAAAATTATCATTTAAATGGTGCACATCTCCCCTGAAACATCACTTTGCCAGGCATCTTGATCTGAGAGTCTCATAAAATCTGGAGGCACACGTAATCTGCAGGCATTCCAATGCACACATTAATGAGTGAGACACTAATGAGGTTGAGTTCACTTCCAAAGTGCTTCAAACTCCTCAACAAAATACTGAAATGTCTTCCTTCTCTTTTTGGTGGGCCTTGTGATGCTGCTGGAGCTTACTCTTCCCCTAAAGCTGTGACAGGAATAAGAGACATATCCCAATATTCTTAGTACAGAAACATCTACAGATGTTTAGACCTGGATCTACTCCACACTCCCTACTTCCACATCACTGTAGTGATGCACACAAGTAACACATCATATATTCTCTGCAAATCAAGGAACTGGATTCAGCTGAATTAAAAGCCCAATCTTTGCCCTTGTGTGCGTGTGTGTTATTGTTACTCCCAACCCTGGAGTAGGAGGAGAAGGATAGGATAGGATAGGATAGGATAGGATAGGATAGGATAGGATAGGATAGGATAGGATAGGATAGGATAGGATAGGATGGTGTTTCTGTCACCTCCATTCCCCAGCCAGGTAGTCCATTCACCACCACCACATTTTTCTCTTGCTTGATGCGAGATAAAATTAAAATGCCACTTGCTGTGCCAGGCAGAAGAGAAAAGCAGTGAATGAATCATTCAGGCATGGAGCAAAAGGCATACTATTCCATAAAGATTTGCTACAGTCTCCTTCTAACTGGTAAACCTTTTGGAAGAGGTGCAGTGGATGTTGTTCTACTTTAACTGGGGCAATCCGGCAGGTGGGGCGAGGGGCCTCTGAATTAACCTATGGCCCTTGGGAGATTTTATTTTAACTTATATTGCAGCTAAATGTCCTGGAGTGCTTAAAATGCCAAACTAAAATATCCTGGTCTGGAGCTGCCAACTGAGGAAAGATGTTCTTTCCGAACTTCTTAAGAAAAACATTGCTGTTTCCACCATTAATCCTTTCCCAGAAAGAGAGCAGAAACATTCTGGAGTTTCAGATTTGTATTTAATTTGCCCTTCTTGCTTTCACTCTCTGGCTAGAAGCAGAAATCACACATTATTTGAAATACAGAAACTTCCTGCCCCAAAAAGCATTTCTCCTCCTTTCCAGTAGCATTCACAGAAAACTCTTATGACAGCTAAGGGGCAACACGCACCAGTGAACTCACTATTGAAATGCTGATGTACTTGTGTCTTGACATCTGAAGTAGGTTGAGTTACAGTATTTCAATGATGACACCATCATGCACGTGTTGTCATTTCCTCCTCCCCCCCAGTCCATGTTTGGTTCTCAAGTTCCATGCACACTACTTTTTTAGTCTGTTTTAGTTCTAAAAAAATGTGTTATCAAATTCTCTCAATGAGAGCGGCAAGCCTTCCAAGCAACCTTAGAAAACCAAGCTGTGGTTAAGGGTTTTCAGTCTCTTCTCCTTCACTGTCATTGCAGAGGGGAAGGGAAGCAAGTGCAAAAGATTTTGCAATAACAGATGAGTTCAACCAGCCATGGAAGAAGTTCATCGCTACACCATCCTCTTCGTCTCAGTGAAACAAAGATCTTAAGATCAGTTGTTCTGTAGGAATTTATCTGTGAACAAAAGTCTCTCTTTGACACACCACACTAAAGCCCTGTTCTT